CCCACAGCAAAACTTTCATTAATTGCAATATTGCAATGGGCGTATGAGTTTTATTAATGCGAGTAGCCTATACGTATAAGTGTTGACATGACGTATACGCCCAATATGTTCCAAAAGCGAAATTTAATATTTAGGTGTTTTCGAACATATTAAGAAAGAGTTTTCCAGCAGGGATAATAAAAAAATAATCTACGACCTCTATAGTACATCAAAAAAAATATTTACAAAAAAATCCAGGCCTTAGAAAATATTTTAAAATAACTCCAGGCCTTAGAACCCAGGCCACGCATTGGGAATCCAGACCACGCATTGGGAAATATATGGAGAACTATTTTAAAAAATCCACGCCTTAAAAATTTTTAAAAAATCCACGACTTTAAAATTTTTAAAAAATCCACGCCTTAAAAATTTTTAAAAAATCCACTCCTTAAAAAAATTTTAAAAAATCAACGCCTTTCATAAAAAATATTTGTTAATTCATCATGCATTCCCCTCCTTATCACACCTCCCTTCTCTTTGCAACTCCATGCCTATCAATGATTTGACGAAAAATCTAGAAGTTAGATTTTTGGGCTTTCGCAACAGCTCAACACAAATTAATGACTTTTTTGGTCAGGTCAATAGAATTGAAACATATGGACGGATGGATGGTTGTATTGGATGACTGAATGAATGAAAATTGCATGTTAACCAACTAGTAATTGAAGAGCTTTTGGTGTTTGGTTTTTTGTCATAAAAATTTTTTCACATAGAATTCCTTTCACTTTTTTGGTTGGGCTAAAAATTGGCCAAAAAACGTTTTTTATGGTCATATAATAGCCAGCGTGTTCCCATTGCAAATCACAGAAACATGTTTTTGAAGTCAATTTTAACAAAGTCACATCATCATCATCACGTAGTGCCAAACATTTTTTATGAAGTCTCTTCGTACTCGGAGATAATTTTTGCGGATTACATGTGAAAAGGTGGAAAATTTGCAAAACAAAAATTTACCATATTTAAATTGTTTAGTTAAACTGGTAGTTAAAAGCCATATCAACATTTATGTTATGATGAGATAGTTTATGCAAAAATTATGGCATTATTTTAAGACCACTTAAAACAATAGTTAAGGTGGTTGGAGCTGTTTTGCTTTGCTTCTTCAAATAATATAAAAATAATTCCCATAATGTCTTAATATGAATGGGCTGCTGGTGGGTAATTTGAGATGTCTGGAGCAAACAAATGGGCCAGTGGCGTCATAAAATATTTTTTGGGGGAGAAAATTTTGAATTTTTTAATGATCGGAAACATTGTGGGCTAGGTCACCTAAATATGCCAATCTACACCCATTTTAGAAACAAATAATATTTTATATTCAATCAGTTTTTTTTTTCAAAAAGTAGTAAATTGACCATAAATCATTTTTTATACACAACCTAGCCATTCGGAGAACACTTCTCAGAAAAATGTGTATTTTATTTACATTTGTTTTGTTTTGAATAAATGTATATAACGGTTATTTAGCCAGCTTTTATAATTTAAATTAAGGTCTTGGATGGTAAGCATGATGCTGACCTGAAAATGGCGAGACTCTATTGTTTCATGGAATGTAAGATTTTAGGTCACTGTGTTCTATTCTTGGTTTTTTATTTGGCACACACAAAAAATATATTTGAAGACATATTTGAGAAATAAAAAATACTAAAACATATCAAAAATAAATGACAGAATATTAATTCAACAATAAGAATAAAAAACAATCACCAACAATCTTATAAAAGTCCTTAAAAAATATTTTTAAAAAATCCATGATAAATTGTAAACAAAGTACAAGTCGCATTTATTATCCCATTTGGAAGAAAATTTGGCACAGCTCATTTATTTGGCCCAAGGACGAACCCTATTGAAATTGGGAAAAATCGGTTCAGATTTAGATATATCTCCCATATATATTTTCCTCCGATTTAAGGTGAATGGTGCACCAAAGTCTCTATATAACTTTCGATTTGCACGAAATTTGGCACAGCTTACTGAATTAAGCCTAAAACGATGTGTGCAAAGTTTCGTGAAAATCGGTTCAGATTTAGATATAGCTCCCGCATTTTCGTACGATTTAAGGTAAATGGTGCACCAAAGTCCCTATATAACTTTCGATTTGCACGAGATTTGGCACAGCGTACTGAATTAAGCCTAGAAATATGCTTGCTAGGTTTCGTGAAAATCAGTTCAGATTTAGATATAGCTCCCATACATATTTTCGTCCGATTTTGTGTAAATGGTGCATTAAAGCCCCTCTATTTGCTCGAAATTTTGTATAGCGTACTGAATTAAGAGTAGAATGATGTGTGACATAGTGTACTGAATTGAGTCTAGAATGATGTGTGATATGTTTTGTGAAAATCGAAATTATGTGAGGTAAGTTTCGTGAAAATTGATTCCGATTTATATATAGCCTTATATATATTTCGTCGGATTTAATGTAAATGGTGCACCAAAATCCGATTTGCACGAAATTTGGCATAGCGTACCTAATTGAGTCTAGAATGAAGTGTGCTAAATTTCGTGAAGACCGGTTCAAATTTAGATATAGCTTTCATTTTCGTCCGATTTTGGGGAAATGGTGCACCAAAATCCTAATGTTTATCCGATTGACACGACAGTGCGGCATACCGAATAGCGTGTATTAAGTTTGCTATAAATCGATTTAAATAAGTTGGTCACATTGTTCACAACCGAATGTAATTCTACCTGAATGAAATGAAACTTAGCATAGGTTTTAGAATATATGTACGGATTGAAGTTTGTTGGTTCACATATAGATAAAGATCACATACTTGAGTTCGTTCAATTTCAATGTTCCTTCGAAAAGGCAACGTCTATTAGGATATATATGTAGAATATACCAAAGTGGTGAAGGCTATTATGTAATCGGCCCAGTCCGAATCTACTACTTTCTTTACTGGTTATACAATTGAATCTGATTTAAAAAATCTCCTAAATAAAAAATAATAGTGGGAAAATCCACGCATAAATCAAAACTTCCTTATGTATCCGCTGCGGTCCTCTTAATTTTCCAGATGCTCATCTCTAAAACTATGCCATGAAAAGTTCTTAAGAATTCTAGTGTCAAATTAAAAATTGCATACATCAAAATTCTACTTTCATATAACAACAACAAGAACTAGGAAAAGCAAACACCATCACACCAATTGTGTGCAAATTTTTCACATGATTACATTTTCAACATTTTTTCTCAGGTGTGAGTGAGTGAACATCATGGCATCCACACACTGAGCAACCTGAATTTTTTGTGTATTAACCTACAAAATGAACAACAAACAGGCAATGAATGACAGCAGAAAACCCAAAACATTTTTTCCAGCAGCATCGCGATCCAGTTTCCATATCTAACTAAGCATCAGGCAGGCAGACAGATCAAAAAATAAGAAAACTAGGCCAATGTACGCAGCAGCTAAACGCTTAACTTTGACAATCAAAATAGAAGGGGGTCTTCATTTCAATAACAAACATGTCCCCGGCTATAAAACCAAAACAAAAAATATGTATAAACTTCATATAAGGGAAGGTTGGAATGGAATGGTTTTATGGACTATGTTCATCATCTCTTCCATGGAGGCTTAGATAAATGTTTACAAAAATAAAAAAATAAATGCAAAACAAAAACAAACTGGTTCAGGAAAAAAAAATAGAAAACCTCCAATGGAGTTTTTACTTTCATTCAAACAAATGCTGCCAACCAACCAGCCAGTTAACCATTGACGCATTATATGTATGACCCAGTTTGTGTCCATTTCTAAGTGTTCACTTGAGCTTGGTTTATTTATCCATTACTTGATTTCAATGGAGTGGCCAGCCATAAATTACCAGCAAGCAACAAACCTGCTAAACGTAAAATATCTTGCTTGTCACTTTTTGTGGACTGTTGTCGTCAAATTATGTCTTTGTTCGAAGAGTTGAGGAGTTGCTTTGAGTGGTATCCATTCGATTGGACATCTGGCCAATGATTAGCAAATATTTTTCTGATTTGATGGCCACCAATCCCCCTTGGCCAAAATGATGTAATCACATTCATGCTAAATGCTGTAATGATTGTCATGGAGATGACTATCCGACAGGAATGGATAATTATGGACGGTATTAATTATATATGACATGACGATACTAATGATAATCAGAACAGTATATGAAAACTTAAAATAATAGAACACTATTTTATGCCAGAAAATATTCGGTTGAGCCAAGCCTATTTTTCTTGAAGAAATATTCCCTTGGAATAAATCACGCCTATTTTAATAGTGGAAATATAGAAAATTATTACAAAAAATACTAAATTGTTTGAGTTAAAAAAAATACAAAATTATTAAATTATTAAGGACCAAAAATGACTAAACATTTTTATTGCTACATAGAACGTTTCCTATTGATAAAATAATTATAAACCAAAAGGGACAACGTGTTACAAAATGATTACAAAAAATACAAAATTGTTAAAAATAAAAAAAAAACGTAAAAAGACTTAAAATGATCTCCATCAAAGGACCAAAAATTCCTAAAAAATAAAATTTCTACATAAAACACTTTTTATTGATTAAATAAAAAAATACCCAAAGCGAAAACGTTTTCTAGAAATATTACAAAAAATAGAAAATTATTAAATTGTTAATAAATTGAAATCGAGGTTCGTCGAAGGACCAAAAATTTCGAAAAATGTTAATTTTCTTTTTGTTGATTAAATCAAAATACATACGCACCCAAAGCAAAAGCGAATAATGAATAGCCTAAAGGGAAAACAGTTGAAAAAAGTTAAAATCTTTCAAAGTGATAGGGGCGTTTCAGTCATCTTAATTGGATAACATATTCAAGTGGTTGTCTCAATGAAATCCACCCTAAGACAAGGTATTCCGCCGTATATATTTTAATCTCACTACTATTTATACAACATCAAAAAAATCCGCAATATCATTAATCATCTTATCTCTTCATTTCTTTCGTTACAGCCTCCCTTTCACAATCACTTCCGGCGCCAGTTGAATGTACAGCAGCACATTTTAAGCGATGTCCATCAGCATCATACCCAACCCCGTCAAAATCAAGGTCTCTTCTTGCAACAATCGCCCAGTGTTGAGGTTCCAGTGCCACAAACTCAACAGCAGAGGAATCATCAGCGATTCCCACCTACCGGACCTAACCATTTCAATGTTGGCAATCAACAATTCCAGAGATCTACACACAATCAGGTACATGTACCATTGCATCAACAGCAGCAGCACCAACAACAACATCAGCAACAACCCCACTATCAACCACAACAACCCCAACAATTCCAACACCCTCAACAACAGCATCAGCAACAACAACAACCAGCCGTCGGAGGTCAATTGGATCAACATCAACAAAATTTCTTAGCTTTGCGTAACTTCGCCAGCCAATCTATTGGACCCCAACAAAGTCCACCACAACGCTCGTACAACAACAAACCATTTCAGGCTCAACAACCAGGTCTCCAGCAGCCTCAATATTCCACCTTACCCAATGAAGCCTATCAGCAGCAGCCAAATTCCAATTTCGCTTTGGGATCCCAAATTCTGCCTCAAACCCAACAAAAGTTGCCCATTCAGGCTCCAGTACCCACCTTCCAGACTCAAGCTGCACCTCAAATTCCCTTCTCAACCGTGCCACAATTCTTCCAACAGCAGCAACAACAACAGCATCAATCGACTCTACAAACAACCCAGCAAACCTTTTTGCCACAGACACAACAAAAATTGCCCCAAGTTGATCAAACTCAGCAATTCGCCTTGACACCCAATTTGGGAATTCCCGTACCAAATATTTTCCCCAATTTGAGAGCCACTGCCAATACCTATGTCCAACAACAGAATCAACAGCAGCAACATCATCATCAACAAATTCCACAACAACAACAGCAACAGCACTTTGGCCCACAAACTTTCCCCGCCTCTCCCGAACAGGAATACAAACAAAAGCTGATCCAGAAACATGAGCAGTTCGTCCAGAAACAATATGAGAAGTCGCAAAATAAAGTCAAGCAACAACATGCCGAATTTGTGGCCAAGCAGCAGAACATCAAACAACAGGTGTTGCCCACAATCATTGGCGGCAATAATCAGCAACAGATCTACAGCACGCAACAACAGACCGTAAGCTACAATCCACCACGTAGCCGTCCCGTAGGTCCTTCCGAACTACCATCCTTTGCCTCGGCTGTCCAACAATACTACAAGGAACATCCCACAACTACCACGACCACCACCACAACTACAACCACCACTACCACACCACCTGCTCCCCCAGCCCCTAAAGTCAATTCCAAATCTGCCGCCTATGGCCAATTGAAAGCTGAATTGGGTAAATATGGTCAAAAGACCACAGCTAAGAAACCAGTCAAAACTTTCGGACGTGATGAACTCTTGAAGCAACTCAAAGCTGCCCTGGCTGAAACACCCCAGAAAGAATTGGGTAATAAGACCTATGAAGAGATGGATTTGGTATTGCCCAATGGTGAACGTGTCCAAGTCATTCGAACCACTGATCCCAATTTGGTTAAGGGTCAACAATCCTATACTCACGATCAATTGCAAAGCTTATTCGGTGACCAAAACATTGAAGCTATTGTAGGTGGAGGAGGAGCTGCAGCCGATGCTGGAAAACTAAGTCTCAGTGATATTGCCCCAGAAACTAAAAAGGACTTGGTTCTCCCCGGAGGTGGTAAAGTACAAATTCTAAGATCCCCTGATCCACAAGAATCCGTTGACCCACAAAACCTACCCGGAGGTGTAGATCTTTCCAGTTTGGCTTCGCTGTATGGTGGTAGTGTTGAAGGTGTTTCCAATGGAGCCAATAGCATTGCCAGCACAGCTGTTATTCAATCCGATTCTGATGAACCACCATCCCTTGAAGAATTGGCTAAACGTGGTTTAATTCCTGATGGTTATGAAATTGAAGGTTTGAGCTCTCCCTCAAAACCAAAGGCCCAACCTAAGCCAGCACCCACCTTGCCACCCAAAAAGAAGGCGACCTATGTTTATTTGGAAGAACAAGCTGATGGTAGCTTCAAAATCCAAGGCGTCAAGGCTAACGGTGAAAAGGAAACCAAACAAACCGGTGCTGAAGTGGAAAGCATTTTGGAACGTATAAGAAGCGGAGACATCAAATTACCCCCCTCGGTGACACGTCTTACCTTGCCCAATGATGAAGTGGTAGAAATTGAATCAGGAAATATTGTCAAGACCACTAAGAAACCACCAACAACTACGACCAGTACAACAAGTACAACCACTACGACAACAACTACTACCACTACACCCAGACCGCAACCAGCCTCTGCCACCAGAGCCACAACTTACAGACACCATTACAAATTCAAGACCACCAATGCCTATCATCCTTCCACCACCACCCATGCTCCTTACACCCATCGGGCCAGTACTCGCCACTACGACCACCACGCCGTGTATAGGCCAACAGCAGCTCCTCGTTACACCACAGTGGGTACACCAACACCAGCTATTGTGTCCTCAACCTATGAACCCATTACAGAACGTTATATCGAAACCACCGTTGATGATCAACAAGCTGTCCAATATGCTGATACGTTGGTGGAGGAAACTGAGAATAAAGAAAAATCTTCAAATGTTGATTCCGAATCGGCAATTTCAATGGCCTTAAGTAGTCCTGCCTCAGCTACTGCATCGACAACAACAACCACAGTATCGGGATCAAGTTCCAGTTCGGTTACCACCAATGCTAGTGATGATTTAATTCAAATCCTGAAATCGAATGGTCTCTTTGCTATGGCTAAATATTTGAGACAATCCGGTTTGGATAGTATTTTGAATGAAACTGGACCCTATACCATATTTGTACCAACCGATAAAGCTTTCAAGAATTTGTTGGTACAATTGGGTGGCCCAGAAAGAGCCGAAGAAAAATTCAAGGCTAATCCAAGATTATTGAGTGGTGTAAGTAGATATTTTGAAACATTTGTATTATAACAATTTTGAATCGATAGATGACCTCCGATGTCATCGACAGTACATATAACCTTTGAGTTCGTCTATTGGACAGTAGATGGCAACCAATATAAATAACCCAATGAACGATAGGTTGTATCTATTGTATAGTCCATGACGACTGAGCTCAGTTAATTTAAGACAGATGACTTTGTAGTTCATGATAGAACAATAAATGACCTTTAATTTCACCTATAGAACGATGACCTCTAAGTTCATCTATAGAACGATATGTAACCTCTGAGTTCATCTATTGAATGATAGGTGACCTCTGACTTCATCTATAGAACGATATATGACCTCTGCGTTCATCTTTGGAACGATAGATGACCTCAGAATTCATCTATGGAACGTAATGTGACCTCTGAGTTCATCTATAGAACGAAATATGATCACCGAGTTCATCTATAGAACGATGACCCCTGAAATCAGCTTTAGAACGATAGATGACCTCTGAGGTCATCTATAGAACTATAGGTGACGACTAGGATCTGTCAATTTACTACAGATGGCTTCTAAGTTCATCTATACAACGATAGATGTTCTCTGAGTTCATCTTTAGAACGATAGATGACCATTGAATTCGTCTATAAAACGAAGGATGGTCACTGAGCACTTCTATGGGTAATACGATGATCTCTAAGTTTATCTATTGAACAATAGATGTCCTCAGTGTTCATATGCGGGACAGTATTTGACCTATAATAAATTTCAATTTAAAATAATAAAAACTAAAAATCTCTCTTCATAATTCGTTACAGCTTCTCTTGCATCACGTTATCCCTGGAGCTTTTGACATTGCCACCTTACAGGATGAAATGACTGGTGTTTCATTGGCCGGTACCCAATTGAGAGTGAATCAATACAACATGCATGATCAGGAATGGAATGATGTTACAGTAAATGAATCAATTTTAGATATCTACAGAACCAAAAAATTTTAATCATCCTCCCTCTTTTCAGCTAACAACCATCAATGGAGCCATGGTTGTGCTCAACAAAAAGGACATTAAAATACCCCAGGGTATTGCTCATGCCATTGATCGTGTTATGTTCCCTCTGCCTGTGGGTGATTTATTGCAAACTCTGCAATCGGATAGAGAAAACCGTTTCTCCACCTTCTTGAAGATTTTGTATACCTCTGGTTTGTCGGAGAAATTGCAAAGTAAAGGTAACCCTAAAATTTCCCATTGAAGGTCTCTTGAATTTCAATAAAATCTGTTTTTTTTAATTATTATTTACAGGCATTAAAACCTACACTGTCTTTGCTCCTGTTGACAAGAGCTTTAATGACTTCGAATCGGATACATTGGAAAAATTGATGAATGACAAGGAGGCAGCAGAAGAATTCGCCATGAAACACATTGTACCCGGTACATTGTTCTCGGCTGGTATGCGTTTCTATCAAGTCAAGGACTCATTGTTGACCGGTAAAACGGTTATTTTGCAAAAGACCTCAGCCGGTAAAATTAAGGTTAACGATGCCCAAATGATCACCTCAAATATACCTGCTACAAATGGTGTCATTCATGCCCTTGATGGAGCGCTGGCGTGAGCCTAATGTTGTTTTGTATACGACAAAAATTTATTTAAAGAAAAAAAGTTAGTTTTTTAAGCTCTTAACTTAAGCTCATCTTTGAACAAAAGAAAAAAACCGAAACAAAAAACTTAGAAAAATATTTCCACTAACACACACACATCATCAATCTTGCCAGTTGTTATGTTGATGGGACCAAGAAGGTGCTGCAAAAAAGCTTTGAATTCACACGTTGACAAGCTTTTAGGCCTAATTTCTATTAAACTAAAACTTAATCAAGAAATAAAACAACAAAATCCTTAGGTGCTTCCAAAATAGAAAAAATGCAACAACCATTGGAATTGCTAATGCTTAGAGAAAGCTTTGAAAGTCATTGTAAAAAGTACTCCACAAACAAAAAAGCTTTTCTTTGCTACAACGAAAATTTGCACAAGCAGAAAATGTTTAATTTTAATTATATATTTGTTTTTAGTTTTTCCTTTTAATATTTATTTTTCGACTCAAAATTATTATTGTAATATTTTTTTGTTTTTTGATTATATGAAAAATTTTTTATACTTTTATACTGAAGAAAAAAACACGAGAAAAATTATATTAAGTTTTCATTAATATAAGATGTTTCTATTAATACACAAATTGTACATTTTTTATACATATATTTAATAAAACGAATAAAACTTAATTATATTAATAGCGGGAGTTTTATTTTTAACGCATTGCCCTTTAGATTATTTTAAATATTAGGGTTTTAACTCACCTCAGAGATGAGCTCACCCATTGAAAACTTCTTAGTTCATCTATTGAACGATGTATGAATACTGAACACATCTATTGAACGATAGATGGCCTCTTAGGTGATTTACAGATTATGTGGATATATTCTGAACAATATATGGCACAATCTACTGGAGAATAAATTACATTTGAGTTCTTCTACTGTCCAATATACGACTCCTGAGAGATAAACTCTGATCTCATCAAATCTATAATATATGAACTCTAAGATTACCTATTAGCCATTGAAAACTTCTTAGTTCATCTATTCAACAATGAATGAACTCTGAACACATCTATTGAACGATAGGTGGCCTCTTAGGTGATCTTTAAAACGACAGATGACCAATTATGTGGAAATATTCTGGACAGTATATGACGCCATCGACTGGACAATAAATTACATAGAAGAACATTATTCTACTGGCCACTATACAACTCGTGAGTTCATTGGTCTTTATATGACCTCATCTACTGAGCAAAATGTAAAATTTTTACACATCTACGGGAAATATATAACTTTTGAGCACACCCACATCTGACATCTTAAGACCTCTGAGCCCAATTGGAAATCGCTGAACTACATGTTGCATTTAACCTCTTTGCTAAAATATTATTTCCGAACTCCTACAAATTATACATGAGTTCATCTTATTTACGACACATAGGTAATTTGAATTTTGTGTATTATACAGTTTGAAATTACAGTTTGACAGCCACAATGGTAATTTATTATGGCTTGGGTAGTTCTTGTCCGAACTAAAGGTAATGAATATGATATAAATATAAATCACATATAGATGGCGCCACATAGTAATTCAAATTTTATTCAAATCTGCATAGAAAACCAATTCAACTTTTTGTTAATCATTTGTCACTTCATAAACTGTGGATAGTATTAGCATTTTGGAGTGAATCTCATTCGTTATGAAGAAATCCTGTTAGTTCCACAAAAATGAAAATTTTCCACCATTTTTAGGTTGGAATAAAACAATTTTGTTTTGGATGTAAGATTGAGATTCATGATATTTTTTTCAATTTATGGATTTGTTTCTTTTACATTTTTTATGCTGTTAAATAAAATTCTAAATAACTGATGGTGTCATTTTTTAATTAACAACGGTTGATTACGCTGTAGTAAGGTGGATATAACAAGTCGAATTGAATCATCTTTAGCAAATATTTTTTTCGCTAAATTGATTTTGAGGACAATCAAGATTGGGCAGTCGTCGTTATAAACAATATGAACTAAAGAGAATAATTTTTTTCCGAGACTTTGGATATCTTTATAATCGATATATCGTCGTTTTAAAATTAATTTAGAGATACATTCGAAATATCGGTTATAAGGACTTATCCAAAAGCCCCAATAATAATTTTGGATATCGTTTATAACGATTTATCGCTTATAGCAGCCAACTTCGCCAGTCCCTTGACCGTCGTCATAAACGATTTCGACTGTATTGCATTTGCCCTGATAGTTTTTTTTTCAAAATAAGATTTTTATTATCATTGAGCCTAAAAGTATGCAAAAATTTTTATTTTCTTATTAGATTTTATGAACAATCCTATTACGAATCAAAAATCGCCGACTGAGTATTTGCGATTTTGGTAACGATTTCGTTAGTAAGTAAATCTTCAATAGGACATGATTACAATTAACAAACATTATTATATTTTTTAAAATATTTGGCTTTCCAAAAACTTTTTATGAAAATGAGTAAATTTTATCTCAAATTTTGCATTTTTGTTAAAATCAAAATTTTGTATTTAATTTTGTCATCATGAAAAATCTTTAGAATCATAATTAACTCCTAAAAATATAGGAATTAATCAACATAAATTTTCCATAAAAATATTTTTATAATGGATAATTTAATCTCTTATTCAAAAACATAAAAAACTTACCACAATGAGCACCACATGGACCGCTTTCACGCCTTTGAAAATGATACGCCATTGGAATAAGTTGAATAAGATTTGAATCGGAGTTTAAAACACAGCATAGATTTTCATACATTGCATAATTTGTATAATGGCAATTCAAAATGCTTGACGAAACGGACGAATCGAATTTTTCACGCACACACAAAATATTTTTTCGACGAATTATAAAAATTAACCAGACTATTTTTTAACTCGTAAAAACACATCATTCCACCGCGCAACCGACATTACCGAATTTTCCATTAAAGAACACGAACTCATAGCCGAAGAACACAATAAATTAAAATTTCATACTGAAGAGAAAGCAATAAATGTTCAGCAATAAATTGTTCTTTACTTTTTTTCATGAATGAAATTACAAAGAATTCTTTGTTTTATAAAAATTTTACTTTTATTACCATATTTAATAAATAAACATTTACTTTTAATGAAAACAAATTACATAATTTCGCCTTTAAGATTAATTGACAACTGAGGAAATAATCCAATAAGAATTTTGATAAGAGGATACACGACCAAACGCTTTTATGCATGTTTTTTTACATTTTCCTCTCCAGCGCATTATTTTGTTTAAAACATACTTTAAATAAACACTGAGAAGCATTCATAACCGTACTAACAGCTAAATACCGACCGGTAACAGGAGCAAAACAAAAAACACTGATTATCTCCATCAACACACACGAACACGACAATGTATAAAAACACGAGCAACATAAATTGCGAGCTTACACGGCCAATCATGATTTTTCTACGTCCATTATGCATGCTATTTTTTTCTATATCCTCTTTAACGCTCTCTTTTTATTTAAACTCACTTTCAAAAACAAAACCGACCGGCAACAAAAGCAACAACATTACTTCTCTCATCAACACACACGAACAGCACCGCATAAGCAAACCAACAACACAAATTGCAATGGCATTTCAGGCCAAAAATTAAATGTATTTTATTCAATGAATTTAAACCGAAAACACTTTAATTTCATAATTATTTCATTATTTATATATTAAATTACAATAATATTCACTTTTTATTAATTTTTATTTCTATATTTTCATTTATTTAATAATTTACTTAGAAGGAGCTGAATTCGCGACCGACTATCTTTAAAAACCATTGACAACTGGGCAACATCAAGAAAATGACGAGCTTACACGGCAAAACAAATACCGGCCGGCAAAATAAAAAAAAAAAACAACTGCGATACTCTCATGATGAGAGAGTCTCATCAACACACACGATCTCAGCAATGCATACGAACACGGACAACACGAATTGCAATCTCATTGCAGGCCAAAAAAGAAACTGACTTTTTCAATGAAATACATTAGAAAACACCTTTATTTCATAAATATATTATTATTTATATATTAAATTACAATTATTTACACTTTATAACACGTCTTTTATTATTTAATTGGTTTTATTTAACGTTTCACATTGGACGAGCTGAATTCGCGACCGACCGGCTTTTTTAGAAATTGACAACTGAAGTGAGAAGCAAATTGGAGTAACAGTGTTGCCATAATGAAATTTAATTGTCTAATTGGAGTTTTTAATTGGACAATTGATAAAAGCGTGCAGTGAGAAATTGCAGTAAACTTCGTTGTGTTTACATCTAATATGATTTATAAAATCGATGTATTTTGATTAATAGTGTGTTTTAGGTGAAAATTAAAAAATAAAACGATTAAGTAATGCACAAAATTACAGTCTTTAGGACAATTGAATGTAAATGATTCAAAATAGATGATGAATTATAAAAATACATTTTCTCAATTAGATTTTTATGGTGGTATAAAAAAAACGATATACATGTATTAAACTAGTCTTGATTATAATAAATTTCTCGATTTAGCCATGTCCGTCTGTCTGTTGAAATCACGACAGATATCGCAATATTTAAGATAACGCTTTTACACTGGCATTGCTATTACTCCTAGGGTGTTGGCACGTTTTGGTTTATTCCAAATAAAACGGTACCCAAAAATATTCAGTATTTTGGGGATTTTTGGCACATTTTTCAATTGATTTGCCTATGATTTGGTACTTTTAATTATCCATATCGGTCCATTTTGTAGCAAATCATGCAAACAGAACTTTTTAATATTCGTTCACCTTTTATGGTGTCCTCATGTAGCGACAAACCCCATTATTCCTTGTTTTAGAGAGTTTGGGCACGTTTTTTGCCCGAATTAGGCGAAATTTAATACTTTGAGATATAAATGGTCCACTTTTTAAAATATACCCAAGGCCTATTAATAAGATCATCCAGGGAAACCAGCTGGATATC